TGAAAGACAACAAAAGACAGTTTTTGAAATGAACTGAATCTGCACCGTGGGTGAGGGAGAAACTACTCGATTTTATCTAGTCATTTTTCTACAGTGGGTAGAGTGTTTCAGATACAGTAACCTAACAGAGCTCCTGCCTTCCAGAAGCCCAGAATCTAGAGAAGGTGTCAGCAAGCTGCGGCCCATTCGGCCGGCCCTCCACCTGTTTTTGTAAATAAAGTTTATTAGAACACAGTCACACCCATTCTTTCAAATAGTGCCTGTGGCTGTGTTTGCATTACAATGGCAGAGTTGAGTGGTAGCAAAAGACACTCTATGGCCCCCAAAGCCTAACATATTTTTGATTTGGGCTTTTACCAAAAACCTTTGCCAACCCCGTTCTAGGGGGATTTTCTATGAGAAGGATTATGTGATGGGCATATTATGTAACTAGATATAAAACAAATAGGTTCATGGCCTATAACCAACATAGAATTTTAAAACGTATTCAATTGCTGGATTAAAACTTGAGCTATCTCATGACTTTTTAAAAAATTATTCTTAAATAATAAAATCCATACATTCATTTTAAGTTATAAAATACAGTCTCCATTCTTGAAGTCCAAACTCACGTAATAGGGAAAAATTTCAACTTCATTCCAAGTTATAATTCCCTTCTCCCCTGAAAACTAGGGCCTGCTGCTTTCCTACCTCTTGGGAAATGCTTTCTTCTGTCTTCCTTCCCCAGCTTGCTAACTCTGGTTTTTGTCATTCTGGGGCTGGTGTGGGGTCAGGAGTGGGAGTGTGGAGGACAGGTCACAGAAGTGAGAAAGTTGTTACTTTACTGACTGGATCATCACGAAGCTTTGGCCTTTCTGGATTTGGGTTCGAAGCTCTTTATCTTGGGGCACACTTTTATGAGTTATTTGGAGGCCCTGTTTCCCCACCTCCCTCCAGTTCCAGAGATCTCTTCTCTGAGTGGATCTTCCTCTGGTTTAATTAGTCATTTACTCCTTCCATAGCCTCTAAAGCAAGGGCGGCACACCCCTCTGGCAGCTTGATTTACAAGTTCTAAGCATGTAAGTCACGTTCTAAGCATGTAAATCCCCTCTGGCAGCCTGATTTGCATGTTCAAGTAGGCCTTACTGGCTCACTCTTGTTCTTGATCCACATCAGAACCCTGGCAAGTGTGTCACTTCATCTGCCCCAACAAACTCTAGACAAGCAGGCCAGTCCCAGGGCCTCTTCCTCTGTTTTGATCTGTCCAACTGTAGCTGGCCAGTCGGTGGCTCCCATTTAGATTTCTCAATAGAGAGTCAGACACCAATTTAGGCTCCTGTGTCTGCCACTCTCCCACATGCAGGGACACCTTCTAAAGCTTCTGAGGTGTCCAAAGCCAACTTCTCTTGACTCAAGCTGATGCAAGTACACCTCCCATTTTCCTGCTTGGTGGGAGGTCCTCCTAAAACAGCACTCTCCAAAGAAACTGTTCTCACAAATCCTTCCTCACCAAATGCACTCTAACTTATTTTATGCCCTCAGTGTGAGGAAGGGACTTGGGAGTCCTGTAACCAGTTAGGTTCATTATCTTTGCAAGTCTTCTTGGGCTGTCTGCGTCACTCGGAGCCTGATCTTGACTGTGTCTTGGCGCCTCAGTCAAAACTTCCCATTTAATGTAATACACAATTAGACCAAAGGCATTTGGACCAAAGAAGAAATAGGTCATTTAAGGTGAGGTTGAATCCAGGTCTGAATTATGTTTCTAGGATGAAGAAGATGAACAAGAGAAAGAAGAGGAGGTACAGAAGGCAAATAAAGAACAAGATATTTGGAGTTTGAAGCTCAGAAGTTGGTGGAGATTTCTGGAAAATCTAGACATGTAGGTTCTAGGGGCACTGACAGGGAGGGGAATTTACTGCCCGTGAAGCAGCTTCATGTGAACAGGCCACCATCTGGCAAGGCCACTCATCCACCTAAACATCCATCCGTATTTCACCCAACAAACTATCTACGGAGTTCCAACCCAAATAGGGTGTTCTACTTGTCCTCAAGCTGCTCCCAGAATAGCCAGGAAGGCACCATCCGGGAAGATGGTGGATGACGGAAGCCTGGAAAATAGAAGTGTTTCCGAGCTTTTAGAATGGACATGGAGCCTTCCATTGAAGTATGTCAAAACCACATTGTATAAAGTGCTCTCACTTTTCATTTTCAAACACATATACTTGGAAACTTTCCATGTTGTGTGAAATGTCATCAGCTCAAATGCCTGGTTTTTTAAATAAAAATGAATGATATAAATCATCCTAGCTTGGGCATGGTGGCTCGTGCCTGTAATCTCAGCACTTTGGGAGGCCAAGGTGGGTATATCTCTTGAGCCCAGGAGTTGGAGACTGGCCTGAGCAGCATAGTGAAACACCGTTTCTACAAGAAAATACAAAAACAATTAGCTGAGTGTGGCGGTGTGTGCCTCTAGTCCCAGCTGCTCGAGAGACTGAAGTGGAAGGATCACTTGAACCAAGGAGGCAGAGGTTGCAGTGAGATAGCACCACTGCACTCTAGCCTGGGTGACAGAGTGAGACTTCATTTAAAAAAAATCATCCTATGTATACATGTCTATCATGGAAATTTGGACATCAACACACATTGCCAACTTCAGTAACAGGAAGTTGAACACTCAAGGCTGTTAGGAACGTTAACTTCTGCACTTCGCCCCGTGAGGATTTGAACTGACCTTAAAACACTGTGGAGAGACTGAAATGGTGCATTAGGAGTTGTTCATCACACTCTGGGAAGGAATAAGATCCATTGAACTCATTGCCTTAAGAGTAATGCGATCTTCCTCCATTGTCCCAACCCTTCAGGAAAATTCCACTATACACAAACGCCTTGTGCTGGAGATGATGCCTAGAGAAGTCAAAGAGAGGGGGTGTGTTTTATGTTCAGCAATGACTTTAGACTGGACTCGGAGAGTGTCTGCACTTAAAAGTCCCCACTATTCCCACGAAGGGAATTGTTCCCAAGCTGTGTCTGTCCCTGGTCCCCATTTTCCCCTGATTTTATTGGAGCTCTTGTCCTTTTTACTAGCAGAGGGCTTCCAATAATAACATTTCCATGTGTCCCTTATGCGTAGAGGTTATTCTCTCTACCCCTTCCCCAAACTACTTTAGGTCTGACTTTCCGTGCCCCTTAAACGCTGGAAGAGGCTCTCTATGCAAAGAGTCTCTGACTTGAGACTCCAGCTTTTAGTAACAGCACTGAGATAAACCTTGAGATTAATTATCTTTTCTGTATCTGGGTCAAATTCTTAGGTGGGGTCAAATTCTTTCCCCACCAATCTCTAAGGAATAAGAGAGATATCTACAGAGACACAAATGAGATAGAGACTTCAATTGAAGCAGGAAATCAGAACACTTGGGGACCAGGAGAGACATCCGCCTTCTGAGAAACCCTGGAAAGAAGAATGCGGGGTCAGCTGGTGATGGACACTGGCTTTCCATCACTGTGAGATGGGAGCTTGAGACATTTTTATTTGCATACTAAAGGTCAGAGTGACTTCCTTAGCCCAGAGGACTAGGGAATGTGCATCCAAGGAAATTGATACAGGGTTAGATCTACAGGGCAGAATTTTAAGCCTGGGTAGAGCCAAAACCCGATTTGCATATTTAAAAGTTTACTGAGGCCACTGGATGAAGGATGGATTGAGGGGATGTCAGTGGGAGACCAGAAGAGGCTATTACAGTAATCCAAGCATGAGAGATATCATGATGAGCTCATGATATCTCTATCGGTGTGAGACACAGAGCTGGGAGAGCTGTGTTTAAGACAACTAAAATGCACTATTTCTAGGAACTGATGACGATAGATTGGCTGTTGGGATGGGAGAAGGAGGGAGGAATCACAGGTGCTCTCACGCTTCTGGCTTGGGTGACTAGGAGAATTTTAATTCCATGCACTGAAATGGAAAGAACGGATTTGTAGGGAAAAGTGTCTCTCTTTGGTAGCCAAAAGGTGGGACTATGAGAATCAAGGTAGGAAAAGGATTGTGGGATGGGTGTGAACTAGGTTAGGAAAACCAAAACATCCAGAAGGGAGGAAATTCTAAGAGTAAGTCCTAAAAGTCCAGTGTAGTCTATTACATGTTGAAGTCTATTAGGTTTCTTCATAGAAATAGCAGTAGCCCATTAGAATAAAAGTTTCTAAATCTTCACTGCAGAATGTAAAATTACTTCTACAAAAATTAGCTGGGCATGGTGGCACATGCCTTAATCCCAGCTACTACAAAGGCTGAGGTGGGAGGGATTGCTTGAGCTGGGGAGGTTGAGGCTGCAGTGAGCCATGATTGCATCACTACATTCCAGCTTAAAAGAGAGAGTGAGACTCTCTCTTAAATGACTGTGACACTGTTAAAGCATTGTCAATTCTTTGCTTTTAATCCCCTAGGAAGGAGTCCCGATGGTAGCAGAGAATGACATAAGAAATGACAGATAGAGAAAGAGTTCCATGCTAATTCTTCTACCTAGCATTCTCTTCCTTCGCATTTTTTTCTATTTTCTTTTTGCCTGCAAACTCACTCCTCCCTTTAGATTCATCTTGCATTCTAGCTCCCTTGAGAACGTGTAAATCACTAAAACTTTCCAAAATACTCATCCCACAGGGATAGGCACATGAACAATTAATGAACCATTAATTGGACATCCAGTGAAAATACCCCATCCCTGTTGTACGCCACCCCCCCCACCCAGTGATTTGTTCAGGAATAAGTTTGTGTTCCAAGTGGCACCAATCAAATTCTTCCCTTTGCTGGCTCTAAGGAGGCTGAAAAACATCAGCTGTCTTTCTGCTGGACTTGCTATACATTGAGGGGAAAGAGTCTGGTTGCTTGGTGCCATTATGTCCCCTTAGTAAGACCTTGAAGCCAATGGTATCTCTTGATTTTCTGATTATGTTAGCCAATAATGTCTTCTTTCCCTCCACTTTACATTTTCTCAAAGTAACTTGAGGTTTTTCTTTTTATTTGTGAGCAAGAGAAGTCTGAAAAGCTCCCACAGTCCAAAGTGAGTGGTCCTCTCATTGATGCCTCCACTCTTATCTTGAGGTGTAACTCACATACCATACACTTCATCCTTTAAGTTCAATTTAATGGTTTTAATACATTCACAGAGCTGTGCAACCATTACCATTGTCTAATTTAAAAACATTTTTATTATCCCAAGCAGCATCCCCATACCTGTTAGCAGTCAATTTTCACTACCCTGGCAATCTCTATGTCTCTATGGATTTGCCTCTTCTGGACATTTCATAAAATGGAATTACCTTTGTGTCTGGCTTCTTCCATTTAGCACAGTGCTTTCCAGGCTCATCCATTTAACACAGTGCTTTCCAGGTAGCACTGTGTGTTAGTCAGGGTTCTCTAGAGGGAAAGAACCAATAGGATGCATGTATGTATGAAAGGGAGATTATTAAGGAGAATTGGCTCACATGATCACAAGGCAAAGTCCCACAATAAGCTGTCTCCAGGCTGAGGAGATGGGAAGCCAGGAGTGGCTCAGTCCAAGTTCAAAAGCCTCAAAGTAGGGAAACCGACCGTGCAGCCTTCGGTCTGTGGCCAAAGGCCTGAGAGTCTCTGGCAAACCCCTGGTGTGAGTCCAAGAGTCCAAAGGCCAAAGAGTCTGATGTCCAAGGGCAGGAGGAAGAATCCAGTACAGGAGAAAGATGAAAGCCAGAAGACTCAGCGGGCAAGCTCATCCCACCTTCTCCCACCTGATTCATTCTAGCCACGCTGGCAGCTGGTTGGATGGTGCCCACACATGTTGAGGGTGAGTCTTCCTTTCCAGTCCACCGACTCAACTGCTAATCTCCTCTGGCAACGCCCTCACAGACACGAGCAGAAACAATGCTTTATCAGCTGTTTAGGCATCCCTCAATCCAATCAAGTTAACACCTAATATTAACCCTCACAAGTGTGTATTAGTTTATTGTGTCTTTTTATGCCCACCTAGTCCACATATTGCTTACCTGTTCATCAATTGATGGATGTTAGCATTGCTTCCACTTTTTGACTATTTTCAATAATGCTGCTACAAACATTTGTGTACAAGCTTTTGTGTGGGCAAACGTTTTCAGTTCTCCTGGGTCCATATACCTGGGAGTAGAATTGCTGGATCACGCAGTAACTCTGCTTCACCTTTTGAAGAACTGCCAGGCTGTTTTCCAAAGTTGGGTGCACCATTTTACGTTCCCACCAGGAATATATGCACGTTCCCATTTTTTCACATCCTCACCATCACTTCTCATTATCTGTCTTTGATTACGCCATCTGAAGTGGCACAAAGTGGTCTCTCACTGTGGTTTTGATTTGCATTTTCCTGATGGCTAATGACGTCAAGCACCCTTCATGTGCTTATTGTCCACTTGTAAGTGTTTTTGGAGAAACATCTATTTTAATTCTTTGCTTGTCTTTAAGTTGGGTTATTTTTCCTTTTATTATTGGGTTGTAAGAGTTCTTCATATATCATTCTGGATACAAGTCTCAACGGATATATGATTTTCAAATATTTTTTTCTTTTCTGTAGGGTTTTTTTTTTTTTTTTTTATGGTGTTCCTTGAAGCATGAACGTTTTTAATTTGATGAAGACCAACTTAACTGTTTTTCTTTTGACACTTACGCTTTTGATATTATATCTAGGAACCCATTGCCTCATTACACAACACAAAGACTTATACCTGCACTTTCGTCTAAGAGCTGTCTAGTTTTTGGTCTGTGAACCATTTTGAATTCATTTTTGTATGCGACTGCATTTTGTATTTCCGTCTTTTTGTACTTGTCCAATTGCACTATAATTTCTGGTACACATGCATCCTGAATATATTTTTTTCAGAGCATCTTAATAAATACAGAACCTCAAAAATATTCTGAGCTTAAATAAATTTGGGGAAATCTGCATAATAAATTTCCCTCTTAAAGCTTCACAGTACAACCTGCTCATTAAAAGCTCTAAATGGACAAGAGTAAAGAAACCTGTTTCATTGCATTTAGTCTGGTGCTTACAAGTACCGCAGTCTGGTGGATCCTAGGATGTACGTCCCAGACGTCCCTTTAGGAATGAAGGATCTGTTGCCCCAGCTGCTGGCAGTACCCATGAGAACCACTCCTTACCTCTTCTTTGGGGATGTGCTCAGCTGAAAAGAGTTACCTTGCTCAAGGTCATGCCCACTTCCTGGGATAGATCATAGCCAGTAACCAATTGATTTGGAGGCATAAAGACATGGTCATCTCGACCCAGCTCAGGACAGCCTCGAAGGATCATCTCATCGTCAGAATTCCCTGCAGTGTCAGTGGAGGCTTGCCCTAAGACTGCATTGCCACTCAATTTTCCCGCTGTCTCATCCTGCTCCATCCCCTCTCCTCCCCTCCCCTCCCCTCCCCTGTCCTTCCCTTCCATTCTCTAGGTGTTGATCTTAAGAGCATGCCCTAAGAAGCTCTTCCATGCAAAAATGCATCTTAGCATCTCATTCTAGAACCCAACCTACGGCAAAAAGTCTTTCCCAAACAGATTGAAATATGGAATGTAATTTTTAGAAAACATCTGCCTCTTGGAAAAGTATTCACAGAACACCAGTTTTGGAAATGCACTCCAGTAAAACAAAACTTGCAACCAGAAGAACTGATGTGAATTCATACTTGTCTGTTGGTGAGCCATTTTATCTTCATCTACCTACCTATTCTGCCCGAGCTTTAGTTTCTCACTGATAAAAAACACAAGAAAATCCGCTCAGAGGATTGTGAAGACGCCTAGTGCAGTGATTAGGTAATGTATTACAAAGAGCGCCGTGGGGGCAGGATTTTTACCTGTTTTATATACTACTGCATCTCACATGCCTGGAATTGTCTTTTGCATATAGTAAGCATTTAATAAATGTTTGTTGACTTAATTAAGCAAATAGCACACATCAAGTTTTTGATGCATATTTTCAGTCCATAGGACATAGTCATTTGTGAAAGGGAATGAGTGAGGATTCGTTCAGTGTAAGTTATGTAAGAGCTACTTGTTGACCTTTTCCACATGGACTGGGCAGCCATAAAAATATCAACACCATTACTACAGAGATTTTTTTGGCAATGTCCCAAAGACCTTTACGTAGAGTCAACAATTTATTTTGCTGACCTTTCTTGTAATTTTTTTTTTTTTTTGAGAGGCGATTCGCTGTGTCACTCGGGCTGGAGTGCAGTGGTGCAATCTTAGCTCACTGCAACCTCTGCCTCCTGGCTTCAAGTGATTCTTCTGCTTCAGCCTCCCAAGTAGTTGAGACTACAGGCATGTGCCGCCACACCCAGATAGTTTTTGTATTTTTAGTAGAGATGGGGTTTCACCATGTTGGTCAGGCTGGTCTCGAACTCCTGACCACAGGTTGTCTGCCCACCTTGGCCTCCCAAAGTGCTGGGATTATAGGCATGAGCCACTGCACTGGGCCCTTTCTTGTAATTTTTGGTGTAGGTCATATTCTCAAAATTATAAGCTAAAAAATTCACTTACATTGGCTATTCTATTAGATTAAAGCAAACTTCATAAAGTTACAATAAAATGTTTTTTGAAGGATTATTGATTTAAATGGTAAGACATCTTGAAGCTATTGAGAAGAATCGAAATGTCATAGCATTTTTTTTTTGCCTGTTGTTTTGTAGAAGCCAAGGGAAACCTTCTCCTTTGCCCTCTGAAGCTTCATTGAAAATCACCCACAAGAGGCAGACTAATTAGCAAAAAGGCAGACAAATGTATTAACATGTATGCGAGAGCCTTCAGAATGAAGACCCAGAGATACAAGGGAAATTGTTCATTTCTATGCATAGGTTTGAGAGAGTATGCAAAGCCATGTAGAAGCATGAATCGAAAAAACGGGTGTGATCTAAGGCTGATGAACAGAGCAGGGAGAATCCAGCCAGGCCTGTCCTCTAGGTTCTTCTTGGCTTCTCTGAGCATGCATCCTTTTTTCTCTGGGGAATGACCCTCTCTACAATGGGGTTCTTATGACCTACAGTCAAACATGGTAGGTGAGATAGTTTTTTATGGCCACTTTTTACATAAAAAATGTCAAGGGCATGCTAGAGTAATATTTTTAGGTTTTACGGCTGGCTTTGGGGAAAAGAGGCTCTGGTTTCTCTGACTTGCCTTGGGGAAGAGGGATTCTAATTTCAATGGCTCCCAAGGGAAGAGAATAAGACTGACAGATGGGAGGGAAAGAGAAAGGTCATAGACAAACTTTTGCTTCTGAGACTCTCATTTCAGAGTGTTGGTTTCTGAGTTTCAATGGTAGGATCAAGAGGATGAAGAAATCTAGGTGATTTAGCACATTTCAGGGCTTATGGTGGAAGAAGCCATTTCCCACTGGTGGTGACACTGGAGAGCAAGAATCAAACCCCCAAGGCTGCAATGCTTGTGTTGAATGTTATGCACAATCTGCTAAAACACATAGTCTCTTTCTCTGTGAAAATTTCAGCTCACAGACAACAGCAGAAGCACGAGCATCTGCTAGACTCAGCAAAGGTGTGGGGGCATTGCTCTCACCTCTCAGGCATAATCTAGCAGGAGAGAAATACAGCATCATCAACTCCAAAGAAGATGAACAGGGAAGGGAGCCACATGGAGAGAGTCAATGCAGCAGAGACAGAACACAGAAGAGGAAGCTGCCGATTGTCACCAGAGCTCAGGAAGCCATCTTTGAGAAGGTGTCACCTGAATTGCATTTCTCCCCCCTTAGATTTATTGAGATATAATTGACAAATAAACTTGTATATATTTAAGGCATACAACATGATGATTTGGTACATAATGCATTATGAAATGATTGCCACAATCAAGTTAATTGACGTGTATATCACTCCACACGGTTACCTTTTTTTCTTTCTTGGTGAGAACACTATCTATTCCCATATCAAATTTCAGATATGTGCTACAGAATCATTAACTGTCAGCAGCATAACTGGATCCCCAGAACCTGGTCATCTTATAATCGAAAGTTTACACTTTTCCGCCAACATCTTCCATTCCCCAACCCTCAGCCCTGGAAACCACCATTCTACTCTTTGTTTCTATGAGTTCAATTCCACATATAAGTGATATCACACGGCAGTTGTCTTTCTTTGCCTTTCTTATGTCACTTGACATAATGCCCTCCATGTTCACCCAGGATTATTTTTTCCCCTCCTCCTCCTCCTCCTCCTCCTCTTCCTTCTTCTTCTTTCTCTTCTTCTGACAGGATCTGGCTCTGTTGCTCAGGCTAACTGCAGATAGCTCACTGCAGCCTCTACCACCCCGGGCTCAGGGGACACTCCCACCTCAGCCTCCAGAAGAGCTGGGACCACAGGCACACCCATACATAAGGCTAAGTTTTGTATTTTTGCAAAATAGGATTTCACCATGTTGCTCAGACTGGTCTCAAACTCCTGGGCTCAAGCAATCTGCTTGCCTCAGCCTCTCAATGTGCTGGGATTACAGGGGTGCGCCACTGTGCCAGCCTCCTTTTTATGATTGAATAATATTCTATTATATATAGTGTGTATATATGTATGACATTTACATATATAATCACATAGAAATTATATATGTGATATATGATAATTATATCTATGTCACATATAAAAAACTTTACACTAAGGGCCCACGGATGAACACTTAGGTTGATTCTATATTTTGGCTGCTGTGAGTTGTGCTGCAATGATCGTGGCAGTGCAGGCATCTCTTTGAGATGGTGATTTCGTGTCCTTTGGATACATATGCAGAAGTGAAATTACCGGTCACATGGTAGATCTATGATGAGTTTTTTGAGGAGCCTCTATACTGTATTTCATAATTGCTGTACCACTTGAATTGTGTCTTATAGACTAAATATAATTTCTGATAGACCAGGAGGTAAGGGAAAGGCATTTCCGGGGAGAAACAGAACCAGCCTGGAAACGGAGAGAGACTAGATATAAAGTGATGAGCAACGAGGATGAAATCAGAGTGGTGGGAATCAGAGATTTATCAACACGTTATCACATCCAACTGCTCATTGAGTTGTCAATTTCATTACAGAGTTCCCACATTGTATCTCATGCCCCAGGTCCTCTGCAAAAGTTTAAGCTTTTATAGCAACTATAAAAACATACAGAAATAGCTGGGCAAAGTAGCTCACTCCTGTAATCCTAGCACTTTAGGAGGCCAAGGTGGGCAGATCACTTGGGGTGAGGAGTTGGAGACCAGCCTGGCCAACATGGTGGGACACCTGTCTCTACTAAAAACACAAAACTTAGCTGGGTGTGATGGTGCGGGCCTGTAGTCGCAGCTACTCGGGAGGCTGAGGTGGGAGAATTGCTTGAACCTAGGAGGCGGGGGTTGCAGTGAGCCGAGATAGCGCCATTGCACTCTAGCCTGGGTGACAGAGAGAGACTCCATCTCAAAAAAAAGAAAAAAAAGTTAAAATGAGCAAAGTTTCAATAATCTGAAAAGAAAATAAAAACCTTCACTTGTAGAGGGATGTGTGTGTGTAGACTGCTGAAGCCTCAACAGTGGGGGTTATAAAATATGCCACGCTGAGCTCAGAGCAGGTGCTCACAGGTGCCTGCCAAGTGAATTGGTTTTGTTTTGCTTTGCATTTGCACAACAAAAAAAAGGAAAACTACCTTTCTTTTCCCCTGGGTAATTCATCTTCAACCCATAGAAATGTTCCTCACCTCCCATTTCCCGTTCCAACTCCTGGCAGTGCCGTCCTCATCCTCGGTGTCCTCCAGGCTGGAGACCGGAGCCATCTTCATATCTTCTCTTTAGCGCGCCACCTGCATCCACGAGGTCTATGCATTCTATAAATTCCTTTTCTGTAACGTTTTGTGCATCTATTGCCTCCTCTTTGTTCTCATTGCCACTGTATCAGGGAATCATTTTCACCAGATGATTTCAGCTGCCTTCTAGATGGCTGCTGAGTCCGCATTTTCCTTCCAATCCAACCTATGCACTGTGCTAAAATAACTGTCCATGCCTATCTATGCCAACCTATGCACTGTGCTAAAATAATTGTCCATGCCAATCCATGCCAATCTATACACTGTGCTAAATAATTGTCCATGCCAGTCCATGTCAATCTATGCACTGTGCTAAAATAATTGTCCATGCCAATCCATGTCAATCTATGCACTGAGCTAAAATAATTGTCCATGCCAATCCATGCCAATCTATGCACTGTGCTAAAATAATTGTCCTAGACTTTAGCTCTGGCCTTTGCTTATCCTGCAGAAGGCATTAGTATCATTCACAAAGCACACCCAGCACCCTGACTCTCAGGAACATGGTCAGGAAATGACCATGCTGACCATACTGTTGGAAATGTCATGTGTCGGTCACTTCTCCCAGCTATGAAGTGTCGGACCTGCACACTTAATAGGTGGGATAAGACCATTCAGATCTCTCTTTCCCTTCTTCCACAGTGACCAGTATGCCCCAGATGGTGGCAACTACATCAGTCTGAGTTCTGGAGTGAGGATACTGAGAATCACCTTTACCGCTGACTTGTGAATGTAGTGGATGCAACAAGTCAATCTTGGGGTTCGCAGCCACTGGGATCTTGTGGTTGGTTGTTACTGTGGCATAACACAGCCCATAAAAACACTCCTACCCAAAGGCTTCAAAGACTGCCAGTTACCCTGAGGCTCAAGGTCATATTCAGGAAGGAGTGAAGCAGGCCCATTTAGTTGTCAGAGCTCCAGCTGTCCTTTGATTCCACTGTGGAATAGACATTGTCCTACCGACCCCCTTTAAGTTTCCACCATAGTGTCTGTTCCATGCACTAGTTGGTTTTGTTCCCATGAGCTTTTCCAAGTGTGTTCCAGGCCTGAACAAGCGAAGCTTGAGAACCGCTTTACTCACTGCTCCCCTGAGGGAATTTCTCCTATTGCGGGCTCTACCAGTGAGAGACTCCTAGGCAATGAGGATCAGGTTCCCACTGGAAAAGCTGATGGTAGCAGATTCCCGGACAGGAGAGAATTATTTTGTTTTCCTCTCTTTGTGGTTTTTGTTTTGTTTCTAACGATGAGGTTCTGGTCACAGTGAATAAACCCATAGGCGGACACGATTTTCTTCCTTCTCTTTCTCACGTCACCCAACAAGAAGGAAAAGAACTACAGGGTGAATGGAAGGTTTTCTAAGACATTTAGTTTTTCAAAATTTTCTAAAGCAGACTACAAATCACTCTAACTGATTCCAGTTGTAGGGTGATGTGAGTCTAGGCTTGGATATTCTCTGCCAAGCAGACTGTGCAAAGCTTTAGCCAAGTCTACATATGGTAGGTGTTCAATAAATAGCTTTCTGATGGATTGGTTGAGTTTCATTGTGCCAGATTAAGCAGTTTCCACAGTGAAAAAAAATAATTATGACTTCTTCTTTTCCTGTGCTAAAATGTACACTGTGTACGTTGCTCCATGGGTCCTTGGGACTTGCCTGAATATCTTCTAGAGCAGTCAAGTCTTTGATTGGTCTTCACTTCAAAAATGTAATGGGAAATCAGAATATATCATCTCTTCCATTAGACTCTCAGGCCCTATTTGGTGTCCCTACATTCCAGGGGCTCTCCTGCCTTTTGGGTACCTGTAGCTCTCTTTATCTAGAAGGGAAGGTCCTTATCGTTACAAATTCACACCTATCTCCTCTTGTAAGTAGGTTTTCAAAATTTTTTGAGACAGTCTCCCTCTGTTGCCCAGGTTGGAGTTCAGTGGCAAGATCATAGCTCACTACAGCTTTGAACTGCTGGGCTCAGTGGATCTTTCCACCTCGGCCTCCCAAGTAGCTAGGACTACAGGCACATGCCACCAGGCCTGGCTATTTTTAAATTTTTTGTAGAGACAAGGTCTCATTGTGTTGCCCAGGCTAGTCTTAAGCTCCTGGCCTCAAGTGATCCTCCCGCCATGCCTCCCAAAATGCTGGGATTACTGGCATGAGCCGCTACCCCCAGCCACATCAATGGTCTTAAAATAAGCTGCATATGCAGAAATTGAATTTCCTGAAAATATATTGAGTAGCTCACAGAACTGGGAATCTGAGAGCCAACTTCAGAGACTTCATTGCCACACACACAATAAAAGCACCTCCTGGCCAGGTGCAGTGGCTTACACCTGTAATCCCAGCAGTTTGGCAGGCCAAAATGGGCGAATCACCCAAAGTCAGGAGTTCGAGACCAGCCTGTTCAATGTGGTGAAACCCTGTCTCTACCAAAAATATTTTTTAAAAATTAGCCAGGGGATTGCAGTAGCTTCAATCCCAGCTACTCAGGAGGCTGAGGCAGGAGAATCACTTGAACCCCGGAGGCAGAGGTTGTAGTGAGCCAAGATCATGCCACTGCACTGCCCTCCAGCCTGGGCGACAGAGCAGAACTCTGTCAAAAAATAAAAAACAAATACCTCATCATGAACTAGCTCAGGGAGGAGACCACTATGTCATTTGCTGTCCTGGAGCCTACATTTTGCTCTGCCAACCTGGCCAGCTGGTTTCGTTTCTCCTCTGCTGCTGGACTCTGCCCAACTACCCCCAGTCCCAGCGAGACTCGTTGGCTGGGTCCTTATCTCTCTGCACAGCCAGCTCTATCTTCCAGGGCTGTGGAGATCTTCTCAAGGGTGAAGCCAAGGTCACATGACTGCCCTCTTCGTTAGTCCCCAGGGACACGCTCTTCTCTAGGTTTTTACTGCCCAGAGTGTGGCGCATGAAGGAAAACAGAAATCTGGCATCGGCTGCCTCCCACCAAGACTCAAGATGAAGGGTTCTCCTCCCATAAG